TTTTGGAGGCGATTTCCCTCCCCTTGTCCGAAAACAACAACCTCATTGGCGGCATCGCCGATCTCGAATCCTCGCTGGTGCACTCGTTGTGTCATATCCGAAGCCTTTGCTTCGCAGGGTGCACTAACGCTCCCGGGATAGCGGAAGTCTTGCAGAAGTTCCGTTCCATTGTCGAGTTCGCAGTCATAGCTGACTCCTCTGCTGCAAGCGCGGAAATCAGGATACTGATGACCATCCTCGGTAGCGAGGAGGCTGGTGGCAAATTGGTGGCCCCCCAGCTGTGCCGCTTGTCCTTTGGATGCAGCGACAAAGGTTCCCTGGATTACGGACAGTTTCTGGCGCTGGTGAACTACCGCTGGAAATCAAACTCTTGCAACTTCAAAAGTGCTATGCTGTGCATAGATTTAGAATCGGGTCCCACTCCCGACGCAGAGATACTCCAAGCCATCAGCGCTCTTCGTGAGGACGGGCTCGACTTCGTTAGCCTGTACGGAAACGACGCATCCCTTGCCATGGACGATTGGCTCTGCTACTCACAGTGGAATTAAATTTGATCTACGAGTACATACTGCTTTGTCTCACCCTCTGCTTGATTAACATTGTGTGTTTTTTTAGCTCCCTTCAGTGAGCGCGTAAGGCAGCGTGAGCGATGTTTTCTATATTTATGAAATTCCCTGCTATATCATCGAGTCTCAAAGGACAGCTGGCACCCGAGACAATTACAGAATCGAGTTGTAAAGAATCGGAACGACAATATCGTCCTCAATGTGCACTGTTTGGTCGTACTCCTTCGTCAGAACGCGATCCTTTCCCCAATGTTGAAGACGTTCAAAGTTCCGGCAAGTGTGCGCGATTTTTCCTTTAGGATGGGTGGCGTTGAGTGAGTCTGACCGTTGCCATCTGGAAGACGTTGAATGAGCTGAGATACATGAGATCTGGGGAACAGAAACTTGCACAATGTCACTGGTGTCGCCTGCACACATGACACTTTGGCGGATCCAGCGACACAATGGGCTGTGCTACATGTAAATCGCGAACCGTGGTTCTGATGATCAAGCACCGAGGACTCACAAATATGTTCTGTCGTACTTTGGTAACCGTATGTCGGGATCAGACACCCGAAACAGTGAAGTGTATGTATGAGAGACATCCAGTTTCTAAATCGGCGCAGAGGGGCGCCGCAAAATATGTAGGAACTTCGGATTTTGGTGGATCTTGTGTCCTATCAAAAGCTTCCCGGTGTCATTCATTGGCTGGCTGGAAGTGGTATGTGTGCAGCCCTCAATCTGGGAAGTTTCCGATTCTTTTCCGACAGAGCGGCCATGCAAAACCCTCGAAAGCGACATTGTTGGGGGCTTCACGATCTTGGAGGTCAAAGAGCGCAGCGTTTGTTGAAGTTGAACCTCACGGCAGAACATCGGCTATCAGACATCAAGTCATCAAATCATTCTCGTCCTGTGCTTCGTCACGCTTTCCTTTCTAACGCCCACTGTCGTTCTCGTTTGGTTCTCGTAGTTCGCGCTCAGGTAAAGGAGTCCGTGGTCATTTGCTTCCGGTGCTTATATGCATATGACCTAGATGGACCCGCTCGTGCTATGCTACCGATGTGGGGCCATTGCGGTTGGTGCGACCGAAGTAACTCCGACGACGGAGCCTGCGCCGGTGGAACGAACCTGGACCGACGCTGCCCCAGCAACACGACACCACATCCTTTTGAACTTGAACGAACCGCCTCTTGACACGGATGTCGACCTTGTTAAGTCGGCGATCTCAGAAACCGATGAACGCTTAGATCGGCTTGCGAACGAGATAGCGCAGCTCCGGGATCGCTTGCAACGCTTGGAGGAAGAACAAGGCTCCCTGTTGCGCTTACGAGCGCAGAATTGCGCAGTTCTATCCCCGCTCCGAGGTATGCCACCCGAGGTGCTGTCTGAAATATTCTTCTGGACGTTACCATCACCAATAGAGCCATCCCGCCACCGGACTCTCCGTATAACAGATAGCCCATGGGTTTTGACACACGTTAGTTCCCGTTGGAGGATGGCCGCCATCTCGGATCCTTCCTTGTGGTCACTGGTGGCGATCAGTTATCACTCCGACACAGATCCATTGACTTCGTTTCCATTGTCTATGATCGAGACCCAAATCTCTCGTGCCCCCACAATGAAAATCCATTTCCGTGGGTGTGAAACCACCAATCCTCGTCCACAACTCAGAATCTTTCATTGTCTGGCGGAGCACGCTTTGCGATGGGAGGAACTCGATCTTACCGTGACTTCGGCTCTTTTCCCCCTCCTGGTCAACCTTCGAGGTCATCTGCCATTGCTGCGTAGGCTCTGCATTCAGTGGGGTAACCGACAGAGCCAGGCGGCAGCGGACTCCATTGACTGCTTCGAATCGGCACCTTCCCTGGTGGATGTCGGCGTGTACAGTGAATACAGGTACATACCGGTTTCCTTTCCAACACGCCAAATCACCCATTACGATCTCGACGCCCCGTGGGAGATTCACCGGGGCATACTGAAGCTCACTCAAAACCTCCTCGAGGCATCCATCACTATTTCGTTCGAAGACACACCTCAGTGGCCAGAGCTTCGCGAAACCATCGAATTGTTGCATCTTCGGCGTCTAGATGTTTCGCATTCGCACGTGTTGACTTTCCTCAAGTTTCCCGTTCTCGAGGAAATTTCACTCGACCTTCATAATACCGAGCTCCAAAACTCAGCAACTCTCGTTGATCTCGAATCCTCGCTCATGTATTCGCAGTGTCCTATCCGAAAGCTTGGCTTTCAAGGGTGCCCGGACGCTCAAAGGATCACTGCTCTCCTACAAAAATTCTGCATCGCTGAGTTCACAATCATAACTGCCACCCCTGCCGCCAGTGTCGAGGCCGGCGCATTGATGGACATTTTCAGCAAGGAGGCGGCTGATGGCAGGGCGGCGGCCCCCCACCTCCGTCAGTTGTGTTTTGAATGCATCTACGGAGGTTCCCTAGATTACGGGCGATATCTGAAGATGGTGAAATACCGCTGGGAAGTGGGCGGCCTCAAAAGTGCCGAGCTGCACGTCAACTCAGGTTACGCCGGTCCTGATGCAAAGGTGCTCGCTGGCCTCGAAGCTCTTCGAAAGGAAGGACTCGAATTCGTTTTCGGTTTTCCGGTCGGATTGGACGACTGAATTTGATCCTCCACTAAGTGCGTGCTGATCGCTGCATCATATTTACAGTTTTAACTCATCTCATGTGGCAGTGGCGTGATCAGCTCTTCCTCAGCCTATCCTTAACTCCCTTTCGTATGACTTTTTTGCATTCAACTTCTGTCTGATGTGACATATATCGTCGGAAAGTTCACGGCGTTCAGCTGACATGCTGAATTCAACCTTTGCTGCCACCCTGACCGAATTTCCTTGTACCCCTCCCTCTTCGCACATTGTCGATCGAGCGCTGCAGTAACTGATTCAATTTCCCGTGCTGCTGCTGCTAATTCGTTAAGATCTTCTGCGGTCTCGGAGACTCACTGGGGGAAACTGAGGCAGTTTGTAGGCAAAAGAATCCCCAGCGGTGAATTCTGAGGTCTTCGAGAACTCGCTGGCCAATATAATCACGCATTCTAGGTCTGTGAACCGTCAAGAAGAAGGAAGCCGGGAGCCAAGCAGGAGCAACTCACAGCCAAGTTCAACGACTGCGACGACAATCCGTAGCTCTTAAATCTACACAGACAAAAGTCCTTACCTTTCATTTTCACAGATAGACGACATCCATGTGCCTGCAGAAGAGCCAGACTTGAAGCAGAACACGAACCATGCACTTCTGGAGGCCAATATCGCTCCGCAAAATCAGCCTTATACCGAACCGATTCGTCACTTGCGATCGAGGTATCTCGACGACGAGATAGCGGGTCTCTGAAACTAGATCAAAGGGGCTCCTGGTTGGTGAAACCGTTGATTAGGAGTTTTTCTGGAGCCCGGTACACTCAATTCAATTTTTTCTGGTCGTAATTACCACTTCACGTCAACTTCACCTCTTACTCGGACTTCTACATTGTTTTCTTTGGATCTAAGATTTAAATGCACTTGGTCACTCCGACGTTCAACGATTCAGTTCAAACATGGGCCTCAGGTTGCTGCATACTTTCGTTACTCACTCCGTTCAGATTGCCTCCATCGATCCTGAAGCAAGTCTGCTCCAAATCATTTGGGCTGAGATATTTTCTCGTTTCGCATCGGATGAGCCTTTCACATCACAGAGTTTCGAAGAAGATTACGCGATGCATGATGGAGCTAAACCAAACTTGTGCTCTGTAAGGAGGACATTGCCGTTCTCTGGCAGGGAACAAGGTGTCCGGCGCTCGCAGATGCTTTGGGTGATGCGGTGTGTGAGTATCCGTTTTGAGCACCTAATCTGATAACAAAGGCATTCTCAGACACAGCCTACCCTGCGCGGCGATTTTGCGTGTTGGGTTAACCGTATTTCGATTTGGACAAGACCACGAGACTTTTCGCGGGGCATGTTCAATGAATTATACAACACCCACTTTTGGGGTTTTACCTAGGCTTTCAATGGTCCATGAAAGACCCGGCCCCTTAGTATCATTTTACGAACCTCGGGAACGGTTCAATGCAAGTGATCTCGAATTCAACCATAGTCACGTGAGCAACAGATTTTGCTATCTCCGAGAATCACGCATTCTGCCCTCACATGCTCGGAATTCCTTTGATACACTCACCGAAAATAAGCACGAGACGCAATCCTTGCTGACAGGTGTCGCATGAGCTTGGCACGGGATTTCTTGTCTTGTCTGTGATTTCGTCCGATGTTCAACATTCAATTAACTCCTACCGGTATTCAAATCATGCCCTCGTAGATCAGCGGTAGATATTCCTCGCAATGCATGTCAACAGCTTTTAGGCATGCAGCATGTTTGATATACAAGCTTTTTTTTGTCGTTGTTCATGGCTCAATACTGGTATCCCATTACCCCCGCTCGAATCTACAACTCGACTGCCCCTTGGCCCAGTTGGTGAAGGCGCACGACTGTTATGAATTGGACCGCTAACATTTCATCGTGAGATCGCAAGTTCGAACCTTGCAGGGGCAGCTAAGTGATGATGATGACAACAATTTTTCTGGTGGCTGATGGTTGACGCATCGCTTAAGGGAACTCTGCACTGCGGGCAAAACCCACCTGACGTTTTTTGGCTTCGCTGCTAGGACATGCAAAGTCTGGCTCAATGCTCAACGGTCATTGGTTGTACCAAGACGACATTTCGAGTTCATTTCACTCACACTCACATCCCGGGAAACTCAAACCTCTCGCAACACGATCATGCCCTCGTAGATTAGCGGTAGATCCTCCACCTATAATAGGATGTGAAAGACAATGAAAGGTGAATAACGCGGGTTCGACTCCCACCGAGGGAGTTTGCTAGATATTTGTCATTTTTTACCCTTTCAACTGCCCTTTCTTTTTTCCTTTTGGGGCCCCCGCTCAATTTTGGAACCCGTCCTCCTCCGTTTGAATCCCCTTTTCTTCTGGGCTCACTCGTCATACAAGAAAGGATTCCGAGTCCAATCCTTTAAATTCCTTCACACTCCCGGGAACTAACTTGGGGAAACCCAACCCTCCTACCAAGGGATCAAGCCCTCGTAGATTAGGGGCAGATCTTGCACTCTCAATACTTATAATAGTAGCCCGTGAATTATGTGGACGACGTGGGTTCGACTCCCACCGAGCGCGTATGCTTTGGAGCAATATCTTGTTCTCCTTCAACTCCCTTGCCTTTCTTTTGGTGCGCTCGAAATCCGTCCCTTGTTTGTTGGATCCCCGGGCCCCAGCCTACATGGAGTTCGAGTTCAGCACTCCCAGCAAACCACTTGACAAAAGTCAAGCCTCCTCCAACCTATCAGGCCCTCGTAGATCAACGGTAGATCATCCCCCCTGAATTGGTATTTCAAGTGGTTTTTCAGTGGACGACGTGGGTTCGACTCCCACCGAGGGCGTCCCCCCGCACACGCTATTTTTTCTATACTGTTTTGCTCGTCCTAATGCATTTTTTCACTTGTGTAGGGAGAAAGGAGGCTGCGGGGTCGCGTAGAAGAAAAGAACATGGAACGGAAACGCACGGCGCCTTCATTCATATCTACGTTTTCTACAAAATCTACACAGGCGGGACGGTAAGTACGGCTACACGGGTCAATTTTTTCGTCAAATGATAAAGTAATAAAGAGTATATACAACCAACCGCTGGAGGGTTGGACGGCGCACGCGCCGCTGCTGGAGTGAGGAGGACGCCAGGTCCTTGATTCGGTTGGGCGCTGGGCTCAGATGTTGAGAGGGGAAGAGGATAGACGCCGCGTCCGGACGCAAGTCCACGAGTGTGGTAATACACGAGGAATGAGGTGAAAGAAAAGAGAGCAAGAATCGTCCCGGCGATGTGAGAGCCGGAGGAGGGAGGTGAGGGAGAGGATGCGGCGGCTGCGTGCGCCTATCGTTGGCGAATCGTTGACGTGTCGTTTAGGTAAGGGGGTGGTGTGCGGGGGTGAGGAGTCGGTGAGGATACGACACGCGAGGAAGGGCAGGAAGAGGAAGGCGCTCAAAACGACGCCCTGCTCCCCGGCCCGCCGAGCCGGTGCAGATGACGCGCGCGTGCTCCTTCCCCTCCAACTTCTCCGTGTCTCCCTCCGCCGGCGCGTGCTGGTCCTCCTCCGCCTCGGATCGCGCTGATCGCGCCTCCAGATCAGCAGCGTCCGCAAGCGCGCGCCGCCGCCGCGACGCGTGGCTCGTCTTGCACGTCTTTGGCGAGGCGGTGGATTTGGGGGCGGAGGTGGAGGCGGCGTGTGTGGAGATGTGCCTAGAGGTGTGCGTGGCGGCGGCCTTGGTAGTTTTGGAAGACGCGGCTGCTTTGCTGGAAGACGCGCGCTTCGTAGTCTTCGCTGTCGCGGCTGCCTTAGTCGTCTTGGAAGACGCGACCTTCGCACCACTCGACGCCGCCGCGCTCCCACCCTCCACAAACGCCGCGACCTTCGGCCCGGGGAACACATACCCCCCCGCCGGCAAATCATACACGTCCACAAGAATCCCCTTATCCGTGCTCTCATACGCGCCCGGCAGCTTCACGAGCTCGCCCGCAGCAGGCTTGCCCGTGCCGGAGCCGGAGACGCGCAGCTGGGCGCAGGCGGGGTAGAACTCCGCGCCGCCGGGGGACTGCGCGGTGTGGAGGGCGATGATCTCGAAGTGGAGGAGGTAGTTGCCGGGCGCGACGGTGGGGGGGAGGGTGAGCGTTGCGGGGGCGCCGGTGTCTACGTGTTGGTGAGTCTTTACTACCAACGAGAAGAGAGAGAAAGGGGAGGGTGGAAGAAATGGAAAAAAGGAACGCACCAAGCTTCGCCTGCGCCCACGTCCCATCCTCCCCCACCCCCTGCTCATCAATCTTAAACCACTCCGCCTCGCTCGCGTTGAACCCCCCTTTCCCTTCCCCCGTACACGCTTTCTCACTCCCGCACTCCGTCAAATACGCCATCATCGGCCCAACATCATGAAACCACCTCCCCCCCGCCGCGAGCGTCTTCCAATCCAACCTCAACACATCACCGGGCTTGGCGGCGGCGAGCTGCGTCGCGGGCGTCGCGCCGCGCCCGCAGGTGAGGTCTAAGGAAAGGGGGTCCTTGATGGGGAGGTTGTTGAGGATTTGGCGGATGGGGGAGGGGAAGAGGAGGAGGAGGAGGGGCCGATTTGCTCGACGGGGAGGGGCCCGGTGTGTATGGTGGAGGTATGGGAGGTGGAGGTGGAGGTGGAGGCGATGGTGAGGGTGCCGAGCCAGCCGTGCGCGAGTGTGGGGGTGATGAGCGAGAGGGAGAAGAGGGGGGAGAGGAGGTGCGCGGCGGTGGGAGTGAGGGATTTCATGGGTGCGGCAGCGGGTTTGGCGAGCGCGGTGAGTGCGTTGGGAGTCAAGAGCACGTTGGGAGGGAGTTAAGAGCACGGTGAGTCGAGAGCAAGGTGAGTCAAGAGCGCGTTGAGTTCCGAGCACGTTTACGTTGAGGAAGGAAGCGAAAAGACGGTGGGGAGGGTGGGTGAGTGGTTGAAACTTGAAAGGAAGGGAGGAGAACAAGGACAAGCACGCCGCGCGGCCGAATTAATTGCGAGCGAAGCGAGCAATTATTCGCTAAAGGGCAAGACTCAGACTGCAAACAAGAACAAATTCTACGCGGGTTTTTGATGGCGCAGAAAGAGCTTCAAAGTCGTTTAAAATGGGTCGTACGGACACAGTTTTCGAGAGTATAGTTTAGGTACACTATATCTATACGCATCTCAAAAACTAGGCCAATTGAGGATGAATTGAGTGAACTTGAAAGCGCGATGCGCAGTGTGGCATGCCACCTCGATCACGTGGAAGAAATCTGGCTGGCGCGACTCGCGACTTTACTCTCGCAAACCACCATGCCACCTCCGCGACGGCTTCCACTTCAGCCTCTGCAAATCCGAAGAGCAGTCTGCGTTCGCTGCGTCAAAGATTGTCGACGTCCGGGACAACCAATGGGACTTAACCCGCAACTTGTGCCGTCTCTGCTCTATGCAAGTCGCGGAGAACGAGGCGCATCGACGTGCAAATCTTACCCTCCGGCTTCCAAATCCACCTGGCAGACCATGTCAATTATGTTTGCAGTGGAATGTCCTCACCCACTACAATATTCCTGGAAATGAAAATCCATCCCCGCGCTGTTCTAGATGTCGTACCCGCGAACGTTGCACGAAATGCCACAAAACAAAGAAGAGGCGACACTTCGAAAAGCCAGGGGGAAGGGGCCTTTTTTCGACGTGTCCCGCCTGTCGGAAGAAGGATCTCGAGCAGGTTCACAACAGACGCCTTCGAGCGGAGGCTGCCGGAAACCGCTACTGTGCTGTCGGAAATCACACTGTGAGTGTGGGGGACTGCACTAGTGCCGGCAAGCTCTATGCCAGCTGCAACAACTGCCGCGCTCGTAAACGGGCTGAATATGCAGCTGCACAGGCCGCTGCAGATGAAGAAAGACGGAATATTGACCACGGTGATGGCGCCGTCGGCGATGACGGTGCGGACGGAGTTCAGGTCGTACCGCCCGACGAATACGACAGGTTCTTTGGGGATGGTTCTGACATGGATATTGACCTGCCGGACGATGCGGCCGTCAACTCGAAAGAAGCTCGGGCTATCAAAATAATGAATGAAAAACTCGCCGAACTTCGCATCGGGCACTGCACCTGCTGTCGGGAGGAAGGGTTTGACGTGAAGATGAGGACGGCGGATCTCTGTACGAGATGTTCAGCTGATACATCCGAAACGAGGAAATGGGCTGACGAAAATAATACTAATCCCGGTACGCGCACTTTCAATTCTTCTCCTACACTCTTCTGAAATTTCGATAGCGCCGATTCCGAATTGCCTCAAGAACCTCACCGATATGGAGGAGATGTTGATCGCACGCACCAAGACAGTAATGCAAGTGCGATGGACGAAAGGCCGCCAGCTAGCCTACAAAGACCATATCGTCAATCTTTCGCAAAATATTTCCGAAGTCGCGACAAAGCTTCCACGGCTGCCAGAGGACGTCGACATCGTTATCATACGTCGTGAGGATGTGGATATGACCCACCATGTCGACTACGTCGTCCGCCGAGACAAAGTTCGGGCCGCTCTCGAGTACAAGATTGCGCACGACCCTGCATATGCCGACCTCGGGATGCCTGACGAAGAAGCTCTGAGTCACCTTCCTATCGACGGCACCGTTGTGCATCGCATACCCACCTGCCGTGAAGGACGCCAAGACGGCGCCGCTCCCCAACCCGCGGGCCCAACCGAGGCTGCTGGTACTGGGACGGACAATAATGATGGTTCTGTGTTTGTGGGTGGCATTCTCGACCTCGGAAACCGAACCCGCGAAGAAGCAGTTGAGATGCGGGACGGTGCGAATGCGATTCTCAGAGAACCTGCTTATCAGCAGACAATTGTAAGTCGGGACCATCATCTACGCTATAAATTAACTCACATGAACCAGATTGCGGCGCCTTCTGTCGATCCCGATCCCATCTACGAATACACTCCAGGTTACATGACAAGTGCCTTCCCGACACTGTTTCCCGATGGGGCCGGTGATTTTCACGCGAACCGAATTCGCAAAGTCGACCTCGGCGAATATTTTGCACATCTAATGAAATTCGAAGGGGGTCGTTTTGCCCGCCATCGACGGTTCCCGTGGTTCGCGTTCAATACCCTGCAACGCCAGAGAACACGCAGTCAAGCGAAAATATTTGTGAAACAGAACCACGAAGCGGGCCGGATGACCACGGAGGAGCTCAAGGCCTTGCTAGCGGAAGGCGACCAGAGTATCGCTACGAAAATGATGAGATATGGCGCTAAACTCCGGGGGACTCGTGCTTACTGGCATGCGCGACGGAATGAACTCATCGATATGATTCGCGTCAAAGGCTCCCCCCATTTCTTCTTCACCCTCAGCGCCGCAGATCTCCAATGGCCGGATTTGCACCGGTTTATGCCGCAGGAGACAGATGTGCCGGAAGGGGACAGCAAAGCTGCACGAAGACAAAGGAGGTTGGCCTTGGAACGAAATCCGCACATAGCTGCTTCGTACCTTGATCAACGCGTGCAAATCTTCATGAAGCACGTTATTGGCACAATTTTCGATGTCGAACACTTTTGGTATCGATATGAATGGCAGGAGCGCGGAAGCGGCCATGTCCATGGCTTCGTATGGCTGAAAAACGCCCCGAACGCGGAGGAAATCAACTGGAATCTACTGAAAGCCAATCACGTTATTCCAGAGGACCAGCGCCAAAAAATGGACGACTTCAAACAGTTCTGGGACAAGATCATTACCACGATGAATCCGTTCCCGCGAGAAGACGAAAACGCACCATTGTTGGGTCAGAATCCCTGTAATCTCGAACGAGAAGGCCTCCACAACACAAAACAAGAGTTGTCCGACCTTTTGAATTGGGTCCAGCG